GCTGTGGAGAAAGAGGAGGCTGTTAAGACCAGAGGGTGTGGTGCAAGATAGCAAGGGGAGGTAGAATGAGGGATAATATGGAGCAAGTGCATAGTGAGTTTTAAAAATGGGAGGGTGCTGCGGGGTAGAAGACTGCTGGGAATCTAGGAGCGGTGGTATGAGCTTCCCGGAGTGAAAGAATCTGTTTCAGCATTCAGCAGATTTTTAGGAAGCACTTGGATGATTGAATTGTAGAAGAAGAGATGAGCACTCAGAAAAGCATAAATAGAGATGTCAGCAAGGAGTAAGAAAACGACAACTTCTGGCAATGTTTGATTGGAAGTGATAGAACTTACAGCTATGGGAGAGGCAGGAGGAGAGAAGACTGGCCATTGGACAGTTCAGCCTGCAGTCTCCTCAGAGTTTGGGGTGAGGAGGAGAGACTTCTATTGTTAACTTGGAAACATGATTTCAGAATTATCCCAGTCATGTGTCCTCTTCCAGGGCTTGGAAAAAATACAGTTGTCAAGTGGGAAGTTCTCATGAGAGGGACTAAGTCATCAATTTCTAAAGAATCTCAGTTTTCATTTGAAAAAGTTGTTAATTGTGGTTGTGAAGATAACCCTTCAACTGATAGTGTTGTCTGCAGAGCAATATCTCCAGTGCTTCTGCTTACAGCTTTCCCAACCAAGCATTAGTGTGAAACTGCCAAGTCATGCTGTTGCTTGGGTCAGCAATGAGTAGCCGCTCGGGCACTGGCCTTTTGGTCCTTGACCTGGGTGGTGCTGTCCTTCTGTGTGGTTGTCTTTCCCTATCCAGTATTCTGTATCAGTCTCTGACTTGAAAGTGTTTCCTCTCTGTGGAGGTGACAGGCCACCCTTTGGGTGCTTAGCCACACCCCATGTCACAACAGGAAGTGTGTGGGTGCTTTAGATCCATAAAGTATTCTTGTGGTGTTGTACAGTACTGAATATACTGAAAACTGCAGCATTTAAACATAGCCAAGTGTAAACTTTCAATAACAAATCCATATGACTGCTCTCCAAGGATGCTATCACATCTCCGCTTCACAACTCATTTCATTTCATTTGAGAGGAAATATCTAAATCCATATATCACACACAGCTTGAAACATGTACCTGGCACCTACTAGCCTGATGACTAGTGGTACTAGCCAGGTTGGAAAATAGTTCTGTCATGTTCCTACAACTTAAAAGAATAAAGTAGTTGTATACTGTCCTTTGTGTCCTGTATTTATTTGTAGCATATTGTGAATCAGCTCTCTTTAATTTTTTAAGAATAAAACTTACTAGCAGGCTCCTACTTTTACTAGACCTTTTCCTTCCTGGCTTCACTGAGCAGGGCCGGCTCCAGGCCCCAGCTTAACAAGCAGGTGCTTGGTGTGGCCAAGGGAGAGGGGCGGCACCTCCGGCAATTCGGGGGCGGCAGGTCCCTCACTCCCTCTAGGACCTGCTGCCGAACTGCCGCCGCCGATCGCGGCTTTTTTTTTTTTGCTTGGCGCGGCAGAAATGCTGGAGCCGGCCCGGTCACTGACTACTTTTCTTTTTTCTCCTAGATCATGGTGCATTTGTCCTTGTGTTGTCGATGTATGGCGACACTGCTCTGCACTTTGAACTACGGGCGCATGAAGAGCAGTGCGCACCAAAGTGCTGCGCTATAACTCTCCTGTGTGGAGCTGTGGGGAGTTAAAGAGGACTACATTAAGCAAACTAGGCACCTTTTAGTTCGCATCCACACGGGGATGTTAGAGCATCACTTCGGTGCGTGCTGCTGTTCACACTTGCCTTGTCTGAACTGCCCTAATGTCTAGTTTCCTTTCTTCCTTTCTCAGCATTGTTTTCTATCTCCTTCCCCATATCTTTTCTCTCTCTGCTTATACGTCCCCCAAAATCTCTTTTTCAAATTCAGGACACTGTTCTTTGTGTCTAATCAGCTGCATGATTCTCTTCTTCCCATCCACTTATTCATAGGAATTTTACAAGATCTGTAATAAGTGGAGGGATAAACCTCCTACCCAGAGACTGATCTTACAAGATGAGGGGGGCCTCGGTGTCCAAATGCAGTGTCCTGTGGCGAAGCTACCCCACCCCAACAGCTGCTGGGAGAGGGCTCAGCCGTTACTAAAAGCTACTCTCACTGGATCCTGCTCAGAAGCCCCAGGTATCATGTCTGGCTAGTAATTGTCTGACACAGCTGAAGCCCTGAATCCTCTGTCCCTGCTGAAAGGGAGAAGGAGAATTCTTTTTCAACTGCCCCCCTCCCCAGAACCTTCCAGCTACTGCAAGGGCAGTTGGGTGGCTCTCCGCCGCATCCCCTGTGCCCTGACCCTTGAGCGCCCCAACATGACACCCGGGGCCTCTGAGGGGGGTCCAGTGACAGCAGCCTTGTAGTAATGCTGCACCCTTTCCCTTTTCCCAACCCCCCAGCATAGATGGACTGCATGAGTGTAAACAGTGACTTTTGCCAGACATTTGCTGTTTGCCTTCGTTTCAAACAAAGCGGTGTAAACAACACCATGTAGACAAGTCCTTGTTTCCTGGGGGGCGTAGCCAATATAGTTCTAAGCCAGTGGTTCCTAAGGCTAGGTCTACACTACCCGCCTGAATCGGCGGGTAGAAATCGACGGGATGGAACGCGACAATCGATCCCCGAATCGACGCTCTTACTCCACCAGCGGAGGTGGGAGTAAGCGCCGTCGACGGGAAGCCGCAGAGGTCGATTTTGCCGCCGTCCCTATAGCGGGGTAAGTCGGCTGTGATACGTCGAATTCAGCTACGCTATTTGCGTAGCTGAATTTGCGTATCTTAAATCGACTCCCCCCCGTAGTGAAGACCTGCCCTAAGAGGAGTGTGCCCCCCCCCACATTAGATTGGCAGTAGTGTGCCCCCTCCCACCCCCATGTCCCTCCTGTGTCATAACTAGGGTCCTACCAAATTCAAGATCCATTTTGGTCAATTTCACGGTCATAGGATTTTTAAAATAATACATTTCATGATTTCAGCTATTTTTTTGTGGGGGAGGGAGGGTTCATTTTCTTTCCTGTCCTCTTTGGTCTCTTTCTCAGTATCTTTCCTGTGTTTTTAATTTTTTCTTGCTCTCTCTCCTCCAATGGCTTCCCCACTCCCCAGAAGGTTACTCCCTGCTCTAGGTCGGTGGGATGCCCACAGATAGCTCTGAGGGGCCAAGCAATGTGTGCTCGTATGAGTCAGTGCCAGAGAAACAGGAGAAGCCTGAGCAAGTTAGCTACTACCTAAGCTTACATATGTGAGCTGCGGGTGTGGCTGTTGTTATGGGGTGCTACCAGGGGAAGCAGGGAAACGCTGACTTAGCTAAGCACGAAAACCTAACATGACAAAAGAATTTAGAAGGGTTTGACTTTAGTCCACAAAATGCAGGGAATTTAGAATTAATGGTGGAAGTCCTTCCTTAGCTCACTCTGTCCTTAGCTATCTGATGGCCTTTACGCCAGTGGTTCTCAAAGCCGGTCCACCGCTTGTTCAGGGAAAGCCCCTGGCGGGCCGGGCCGGTTTGTTTACCTGCTGTGTCCGCAGGTTCGGCCAATCGCGGCTCCCACTGGCCGTGGTTTGCTGCTCCATGCCAAAGAGGGCTGCAGAAAGGGCGGCCAGCACATCTCTCGGCCTGCGCCGCTTCCCACAGCCACCATTGGCCTGGAGCGATGAACCACGGCCAGTGGGAGCCACGATTGGCCGAACCTGCGGAAGCGGCAGGTTAACAAACCGACCCGGCCCGCCGGGGGCTTTCCCTGAACAAGCGGCAGACGGCTTTGAGAACCACTGCTTTACGCTACCCAGTCACAGTGAGGTCCAAAAAGGAGGGATTTCAGCCCTGTTAGATTTTCCTGCTTTTCTTGGTTTTTAGGTTTGGCTCATCATCATTGCTTTAATTAGGTTTTTTGGTCTTTTGGAAGCTTCTGTTTCACAGTCACAAGTGAACTAAATGACAAGTTCATAATGGAGTTTGGTGGTACTGTAACATAGCATCCTTATACCTGGCATATCCTGCGGTGCTCCAGACCTTGAACTCCTCTGCATTAACCGCTCAAATTTGGAAATTCAGAATCTGGTTCGTGAGGTAATTGGTGAGAGAATACCCACTCCTTCTTTTTAACATCCTGGTAGAAAAGCATCCAGGAAGGACTCCTGGACCTCAAAGATAAGCTGCCAGCTGCCACAGACTATCAAAGGGTGGCTCAGAGTCAAGTGCAAACAGCTGGGGGTTTTTTTGTTTTTTTAATGGTTCTTGGTTTGTTGCTGTGGGTGACAGGAAGCCATGTTCCCCAAGCTGTTAGCTTCCTGTTTTATTTTTACACCCATCCTGAGCAGATCAGCATGTCCATCGCAAGGGGAGGCGTCTGTTTCTATAGCACTGTTTCTCATCCGACCCAATATTAATCAAGAAGTTGAGCTATATTTGCTGTGGTGTTCGAAATTTTGGAGATGTTTCTAACTGCTTGTGCTGTGCTCCATTATTCAGGAGTTGAAGTTTTGTTTCTCTTTTGCAGGTAGGAGGTATAAGAATTAATCGGTTGCTTCAACAGTTAGGCATGTTAACAGTGGAGCTTTTGCTGTTATAAAGTACTGGGCAGGCAACAGACACACATGCCACCATTTTCTGAAGGATAACTTCCAGAAGCTTTTGTGTTCTGTAAATTTTAGAAGAACTGGAAGTTGGGGTTGGAAGTTCCATCTCGCAGTGTGTAGTAAAATCAGTTTTGATGTCTTTCAGCATTGAGCTCTACCCCCCCCCCCCCCATATCCTTATAAAGCTACCAATGTGATAAACTACTAACTCTAAAACAATGGGTCTGTAGAAACTAGACCACGTGGGAATTTCCCACAAGGGAAGGGCACAGCCTGCAGGATGAAAAACAGTCACCAGAAAGTTTCCTGGTCAGCTGCAAGCACTTCCTGTTGTCTCTTGTGAGCCTTCTCTGTCTGTGCTGTTGGTGAGGAGGGCTGGAGTGTACATGTCAGCGTATCTAGCATAACAGAAGTGCTAACTTCTGTTAACATTCTTGGTTAGAAAATGGACATGTTAAAATGCTCCTATGGAAAGGTTCACGGTAGCTGTCGTTAGATGTTCTGCAATATTTGGTGAAGGAATGAGACTGTTCAGTGCAGATGCATCAATGGGAAGGGTGGTGCAGGAACAGCAGTAATGTAAACAGTCCCTTGCTTGCTCAGCTAAGATGGGTAGTTTTCCTTTGCTGCCTGTACGCCTGAGCCATCAGGTCGTCTTCTCCACTGCAAGCTGTAGAACAGTAGGATCTTTATTTTCGAAGAACCAGTTTTAGAAGGGTGAGGAGGGAAAAAGATGCCTTATACATAAAGCTGTTTCAGAGCAGGAAAATTATCATGGTGGCTCTGGTGTGCCTGGAATTTGTGGGTGAGTAATCCTTTCCTGTTTCTTTTTTGGGTTGTTTTTCATCTTTCAGAACACTGCCTGAAGCGGGTCCACCATGCCGTTAGTAACGAGGAACATTGAGCCAAGGCACCTGTGCCGTCAGACGTTGCCTAGCGTTAGAAGTGAGCTGGAATGCATGACCAACATCACCCTGGCAAATGTCATTCGACAGCTGGGCAGCCTGAGTGAGTACCACTGCGAGCCTGCATGCTGCCCTCAGGAGTCGTTAGCGCTCTTTATTTAGCTCCCTTTCTGTTCTTGTATTCCTATTTCTCCCCCATCTGCCTTCCCTGGGTGATGCTAAAATATTTCCCAAAGAAATCTCTAATGCTCATTTCCTGTCCTTCTCCCACCTCCTCCTCAACAAAAAGAAAATTGGAGAGGAGGAGAATGGAAGAGCTGCAGCAAAATTGGAGATGGAAGGATGAAGCATAATTCAGGGCTGTAAAATGGGAGGCTCTGAGTGGCCAGTACCTTGTCGGAGAAAGCACCTGTAATTGCATGCGCTATTAATTGTAGCTCAACTGTGTTTAAATCTACAATTGGTAATTTTTAATGAAAGGTAATCAAAATGCACACACAGATTCTGGCCTGTTTGCCTGCGCTACATTTATTGCATTGCAAGCCTGAAAGTCCCCAATTCAGGCTAAGAATTGCCTCTGGGATATTGGAGTTTGCAGGCTGCATGTTGGTACAGCGGCACAAATGGTTACCGCTGGTGGTTCGGCTCCCCAGTGAGTTGGCAGACAGCCTTATGAGGGGCAAAGTGAAAACATGGGCCCAAGCTTTATAACAGAAATAAATGGTAAGAATTGCTGTGCCTGTACCAGCTTCTTTTTTTCTCCATTTAAAACCTTCTGGATTCAAATTAATCCCCCTTTGTGCAATATTTGCTTCATTGGCCTTGAAATGAGACCTGCAAATGCTTTGAGAAACGGATTCATACTTATAGGTCCTAGAGTGAAATTAAACAATGCATCTCTGTTTCCTTCACAAGATAGACCCTTTCTCTTGTGCAGTGTGAACACTGGTGAGAGGATTCCAGGCACAGTAGTGAAAGCACATTGCTGTCACGAAAACCTCTGTGCTGCCTCCCGGTTCTCATCTGATACCAAAAGGCCTTGCATTAAGTCTGTTGCTAAAAATATCAGTGTGCAGTCATGGATAAGACCAGTCTACCCATCCATTGTCAATTGCCCCTCACTGTTCCATAGTTAGATGTGATTCCTGAGATGGTCACATAGCATAAGGGTTCTCTTAAAATCCATCTTGTGTGCATGAAATGAGGACGGTAAAGCTCTTTAAATCCCGAATACAGCGAGTAAACTGATCCAGATCCAAAAGGCATGCTGTGGGTTAGTGTGACAGAGCACCAGCGATATCCCTCAGGCTTAGACCTTCTTTGTGCATTTCACTATATTCAAAGCACCTCTGCTTATCCCTCAGAACAGAGAGTGGAGTGCTGGAAGCCAAATCCCAGCCTGGTTGCTTTATCAGGAGGGTACCAAGGGAGCCTCGCTCTGGGGTGTGGGGTGGACCAATCACAGACACAACCAGGAGTGCTGTTGGGGAAGCTCATGTGAGACAGACTGTTCGTATTGACACTCATGCGCATCACTGTTCATTTGAGGGTAATGGGGAGGGAGGGAAATAAAATTGAGCATCTTCTCCTGTCTGCATCCCCAGGGTTGAAGACAGAATTGTAAGTGCTGTGGTCTTTGGGCTAATTACTGAGGAATGTTGAGACCCAAATGACCAAGCTCCTCTCCTAGTTGTCTGTGTGTTATTTTGAAAATGGGAATATGCCATTTCTTCATGTGCTGAATACTGTAGTAATCCGAAGAGAGTTCAGTAAGTGACAGCAGACCTGTCAAGTGAATAATCAGCCATGCCTAGTACACCACAACCTCTTTACAAAGACACAAACATAAAACTTGTGCAGCATTCATATTCCAGTGAGTTTGCCCTTTGTTACTATGACAGCCGGTAGCACTTTGGAGAGGCAGTCTGTGCATTTCTGTTAATTCTGTGGAATCAGAGAAGCTAGAAATGGGAAAGGCCTATTAAATCAGTCTGTCTTCCTGCCAGTGCATGATAAAGATAATTTTGATTGTAATTTTTGCTCTTGAAGTAAAATCAATCAAGCAGCTAAATCCCTGAAAACTAATCTCTGCCCCCATCCAAAAATGTGCATGAAATACAAAGCATATGCTGGGTCCTCTACAGTAACGGTGTGTTGACACAGTTATGCAATTAGAGGAATAAATATACACCCAAGCACAGAGACCAGTGCACATAACCGTGTTTGTATATTTAGAGTGTACTGCTCAACAACTGTTCCGTTTTTCCCAACATCTGTAGTCTTTTCCTTGTGAAATGCAGAAATGGGATCCAGATCTCATTAAAAGGGAAACACATAACAACCTTATTTTATGAGGTTATTGCTGTGAGGTCTGTCAAATTACATTACAGATGAACCTTCCCCCTCCTTTCATTGTGGCATCCTTTGTAAAATGTGTGAGTTGCTCTTATGGTGAGGTAGAACAGGGAGGATGCTTCATGAAAGCTGGTTACAATGAGATCTGTCTGACTCCTGTGTCTGAGGGAATGAATATCTTCTTATGAGTTAACACAGGGAAGCTGACAAGACGTGTCAGCAGGGCAAAGGTAGTGTCCCTGTATTAAAACCCCATATACCAAGGGAGGCAGAGGGAGGACCGTGTGCAACCTGCATAGAAAACATAGCCACGGGGCTAGGTTCTAGGACTCAGACACAGAGGTTTAGCACCCTGGTATAAAATGACTGCAGGGATAAGGGCTTGAGCTTGGAATTGCTTCAAAGTGCAGACTCTCTACTCATGTTCGTAGATGTCATGGAGACAGCTGCCCTTGAATGATAGCCTAACTTAGATGTATTTTTTTCCCCTCCTTCCTTCTGGAATCAGCTGTTGGAAATGCAGTTTCCATTTTACCCATATGACTTGTGCTAAAAGCCAAGATTTTCAAAAAAAAGGGCTCTAAAGTGACATCTTTATTTAGGCTCCTGACTGACTGGGATTTTTCAAAAGTGCCCAGCACTTGACAGCCCCCAATGACTTCAAGGGGAGCTATTGGCTACTTGGTGCTCTTGAAAATCAGGCCATTTATTAGAAGCTTAACTTCGGGTTTCTGTTTTTGACAGTCTTGGCCATAAACGTTTAGATAGGCAGGATTCTGCACAAGACAGGGCGAGGGCAGATTCTGGTGGAGGAATAGTTAGGCGACTGGTATGGTGAGACTGCTGCGTCTTATGGCTAATATTGTCTCATTCTTTCCTTGTACTCCCCACCTGTCTGAATCCACTGAGATTGCAAGTTCTTTGGGGCAGGACAATCGTTTTATGTTTTTACTGTGCCCGGCACAATGATCCATGGGTGGAGGCTTATCGGTGCTACCGCAGGGCAAAGAATGAATAGTAACATCATTTGTCTTGGTTGTTCACTGAGCAGTCTGAGGTTTTACAGAGGGATCATCACATTTAAGAAACTCCAGAGAAAGTAGCAATCACTATTTATTTATATTTTTGATCTAGATAATCTTGAAAGCATCAGTCTTTCAGGTGCTGCTCTATCTGAAAGAACTCGCGAGTCAGTACCCTTATCTATGAATGTCTATGACCCCTATGGCTTTAGGGTCAAGACTTGAATATACCATATAGTTCTAGAATACAATGAACTCTAAAATAGGTGCCAGTTACCCTTGAGGAGGCTTTACTGCAAGGCAGTGATTTATAATTTGGGAGCCTTTTGAGGTGCCATACAGCAATACAATCTAGTTATGTTTGGTTGTTCATAAACAGAACATCATGTAACCCTAAAGGGACTGCAAGATGCAGACTAATCCAGCATGCTGTCAAGTCGGCTGGTGTCGACCTGTGTTTATTACTTTATTCAAGACTTAAGAAGTATGCTTCAATTGTGTTTCATTGTTGTTTAAAGATCCCTTAGAAGGGTGTCATTTAGCTGGAGTGGTGCATTAACTCGCCCTCTATGCTAATATCTTGGGTGGTATCAACACTGCCAAACTTGAAAATAACAAATCTCGCTTTTGTAAAGGCTAGTAAATAGCTTGCTGATGCCAATGTGGAAGAAGCAGCAGAGGGTGTGTGTGGGGAGGGAGATCAGGAGAACTCAAGTATTAAGGGCTGGGGGTGGAAAGAATAATAGAGCTCCAAGAGTAATACAGCCCCTTGAATATTCCAGGTAAATTTGCAGAGGACATTTTTGGAGAGCTGTTTACTCAGGCCAACACCTTTGCCTTTCGGGTGAGCTCGCTAGTCGAGAGGGTCGACCGCTTGCAAGTCAAGGTCACTCAGCTGGATCCCAAAGAGGAAGAAGGTAATGGAGCGGAGCACAGCAGTTGCAGACCAAGCAGGCTAAAGATCCCCATCAAACCAGCAGAGCTCATGGCCTTGAAATGAGTTTGAAGCTGGGTGCGCTAGAGACTCATGTGTTTTCCCCTTTCACTAACAGGGACTCTTTCCCCTACTGCCTTGAAAAACACTTTGCTAGTGACATGTGGAGTGATTCCAAACCACTCTGTTTCTGCTGGAGTTGGTCACTAGCCAGGCTCCATGTCCAGTGGCTGGCTATTCAGTGAATAGATTGGCAGCATGATTTTCACGCTGTGTTTACACTGAAATTTGAAACCACCTTAGCACCTTTCTTGAGAGCCATATTGAAACGGTTTCAGATCTCACTGTAGACAGGGTTGGAGTTTCTTTACACTTCTCAAGAGTATTGTGGGGGAGGGGGGAAAGGAACCGAACCACAGAAAGTGCTGAGCGTGCTGAGAACTGTAACTGAAATCAAATGTGGCCACTTGGCCTTGTGTATCAATCACCTGGGTCGAACCGTCCTTCACTTTCTCTTTCCCTCGCTTTCCTCCTTCTTAGTGTCCCTACAAGGCATTAATACAAGGAAGGCCTTCAAAAGCTCCACCACTCAGGACCAGAAGCTCTTTGACAGAGACTCTCTCCCGGTGCCTGTCCTTGAAACATACGGCATCTGCAATACTCCACCACCTCTCAACATTCTCTCCCCTTACAGGTAATGCTGCAGCATCTCTTTAGCTCCTTTTTTCCCTTGTTGGGAACGTCTCCTCCACAGTTAGCTAAGAAAGGTCCTCACCCAAGGCCAGGGTCACAAACCACTTAATCAAGAAGCACTAGTCCCTAAGGGAAATGGAGTAACCTAACTAGAGTCCCTCGGGCATTCTCTGTTCTTTAGATGGATTATTTGTAGTTTTGCTTCTGGGGATGCACAAATGAAGGTAGCTGAAAAATTACATAGTTATGTTATTGCTTTTGTGATGGTGCCTTAGGGAGACAAGTCTTGAATGGCACTGCATAACATTGCTAGGTGTTTTGTATATGATGTATTTTCTCATGCTTCTCTGTGTGATCTCATGGCCACTTTCCAAGAGCCTTCTTGGAAACTACAGGACATAAATTTGCATGTGGCATTGACCCAAATGGGTGCAGCAGACTCCTTTAGATTTTGAGCATTATCTGGTCTATTCCTGGTGTCAGGTGACTAACTCGGCTTAGATCCTGGCTGTTTAACCAGCATAAAGCCCTTCTCCTTAACGGTCTAGCCATGTTATGTCATCTTGTAGATCAGTGATATTTGGACTGAGGCTCGAGAGCCGCAATTGGTTCTTCAATTTGCTTCCTACGGCTTTTTCCAGCACATGATATTGAAACACTGTGAGATTTAATTATTAACCAATCAGGATGTTTTTACTATGTTGTTAACCAACTGTAGTTGATAAAATAATACTTGGTCAGTCATTTTGCTGTGAGAATATTGTATATAAAAACAACTATTTCCTCCTCATACTGTTTAAATATGAATATATAGCACTATAGTAAATGAAACTCTGAATTCACACAACTGTGGCTCTTTTGGGTAGCTCCTGAACCACTGAGGTCTGAGTGTCACTGCTGAAGATAGTTGTAGCTCAGGGGGTCAGAGTACGAATATTTTTTAGCCCACATCCGTAAATGTCTTTTGAACAGGTGAAAAGTAATTACAGATAGCTGGAGGCAGCTGTCTTCTGTGAGATGCGGCTGTACTGCAAAGTAGGAGGGTGTGCATGTGAATGCACGCTCCTGAGTTTCAAGGATGCTGCTGGTCTGACTTGGGGTTCCTGAAGTGGAGAATATTTTTCTGAAAAGACGGGTGGGTGGGTGGGGAGGGAAGGAACTTGCCGAAAAGTCCCAGTACATAATTGTGTAATATGTCTTGGAGGAAGTAGCAGGAGCCCGATCTGGTGGGTGGGGGTGGGCAGGATGGAGATTATCACTGAAAAGAACTCTGTTCAGCATTTGGAGGTGCGTGCACTCAGGCCTGTATCCATTGACGTTACTGTGGAGCAGGCTATCTGGAAAAGACAGATGGGGAGAGGAAGGATAGGAGGGGGCATGTGTAGAGAGAGGGTGTGTTTCACAAAGGGGTGCGGGGACGGACATCTGCAGCTGTCTCTGTAATTGTTAGAGTGGCTGCTCAGTGGAGTTCTTGCACCCTACTTAAGGTACAGAAATCAAAACTATAGATCACCAAACCAGAGGAGAATCATGGTGCAAGGCCTTGCAGGAGGAGTGGTCAGAGTTCCCCGGAGCCATGGCTCATCAGGCTGATGCGGTTAGGGCACATCAGTGTCATAGCCAGTGGTACACAAGGGAGTGATGTGGCCAGCATCACATCTGACTGCCCTAACCCAATGCATCAGGTACCCTTTTGCAGCTGGGTGAACTGGAGGTGGCCTTTGAGCGTGAGATCAAGTGAAAGACAAACCCGCAACCTTCAGAATTGTAATCAAGCGCTTTAACTATGCAGCCACGGCTGAGAAGCGGTGGTGACTTCAAATTAGGTGAGGTGTGGTGGTGGTTTTGAATGAGAGGGTGGAGTGGGTTGCTCCTCAAGGGCAGAGAGGCCTCTATTTGAAGGGGATGGAGAAAGAGTACAAAATGTTTGGCCTCTTGTTTCAGATCTATAGAAATTGACACCTGGTGGGTGTCTGAAATCTTTGGGCATCAGACAAGCACCTGACTGGCTCCTTGTGTGTGTTTCTATTCCAGGGATGATGGCAAAGAGGCACTCAAATTCTACACAGACCCTTCATACTTCTTTGACCTTTGGAAAGAGAAAATGCTCCAGGACACCAAGGATATCATGAAAGAAAAGCGGAAGCACAGGGTGAGGGGATGGGGGATCGCTGCTGCATTCTAGCAAAGAAATAGTAGATAAGACAAGGTAGGAGGAAAAGACAGAGACTCGTAGGAGACAGTTTCTCTTCAAAATCCAAGTTATCACTTTCACTTGGGTTCTTTAGAGGGGATATGGTCCAGTTTAAAATTATACTTTTAAAAAAAATTCCTTGTTGCCTGTTACTATTATCCTTGCTGATTAAGATGGAGAGATTTTAAAAATCTGTTCTTCTGAATTTCACACAGTTTGAATGGTGACACTAGTTCATTTTGTAGCTTTGTACCATCTGTTTCCTGGCGTTCGATGCATTAGCACAGTAAGTGCTGTCTTTTGGGTGTCAAGGGCAACCTTAGACCCTCTTCAGTACTCTTGCAGTATCTCGCAGGCATCTCTGCTCAGTAGTCAAGCACCCTGTTTATTACCTTTGGTACGCTTTGATGTAACCGGAATATCATCCCCAGTCCCTTTGAAGGAAACAAGGGATTAAGTTTAAAAATCCAGTTACACTTTAACGTATGGAAATGTTTAAGCCATGTAAAACTACAAAAACAAAAAAACCCCACCACCACACTGGCCCAATTGCTGCACTTGAGTGTCCTTTTAACATTAGTGAATTACAAGGCAAATTGCATTATAAAAGGGTTCATTTACTATACCTGCAAGGTTTAGTTTGGGGAAATCTGACTTACATTTTAAGTGATTGTAACATCAGATCTCAAAGTAGATCATGACCTTCCAGTCGGAGTATAAGAGAGAGTTTTGGCCTATTGGAATCCTTGGAATGGGGTTGGTTTTAGCCCAGTTTGTTGTGGGCAGGTTTCCGCCTAACAAAAACCCTACTTACCAGTTGCTATTAACTGGCTTCCTTTTGGAAGCCTCAACATAAAGACCAAAGACGCAAGAGAGGCTTGTCGACATTGTAAGTTGCTGTGCAGCAAGCCAGGGTGGGACTCTTGCTGCACAGTAACGTCCCATGTTGATATTGTGGCACTCCGGGACTTTCATTGCACTGTAGCAGTTTCCACATGGGGCATTACTAGGTGGCAAGCTGGTGCGCTATAGATGCACACCTTGGCTTGGTGCACAGTAATGTGCCATTTAGGCAAGCCCTAGGCTTGGGAAACTGATCTGCCCTTCCACTCCAGAAAAGATCTTTCCTGGCCATAATTGCGGCACATTGGTTGGAGCACAGGGCGGAGGGAGTTCATACCTGTGCTACTCCCTGTGCAGTAGCTGCTCTGTAGATAGAGGCCGTTAGTATCTCAGTCTGAGGGCTTGTCTAGATAAACAGTGCGCAGCAAGATGGGGTGTAAATCTACCTCACACAAACCTGCCCTGCACTAATGGTTCACATGGACATATAGTGCCCAGCTGGCTAGTTCAAGGTAGATTGATGCCCCATCTTGCCACACATTAACTGTTCATATAGACAAATCTGGATCCTTCCACCAGTACTAAATTCACTCTACTGCAGTCTCAAAGAATCCCAAGTTTTTTGTAATCTCTTTAAATGTTAGTTGGCCCTATCTCTACTCCTCCCCTCCCAGGGAGCTGAAATAAGGACAGACTAAACCCAAACAAGTTTGAAGTTCTAATGGGTCTTTCTTTCCTTTTCTTCTCTAGAAAGAGAAGAAGGATAATCCCAACCGAGGGAACGTGAATCCGCGGAAAATCAAAACCCGAAAAGAGGAGTGGGAGAAATTGAAAATGGGACAGGAGTTTGTTGAGTCAAAAGACAGACAAGGACCTGCTGGGTAAGTGAATCTGGCTATTTATTCAGCTCTCCGTGAAGGGGAAGCAGTCTGGCATTGTTGGTGGTAATGCAATTCACCCTGCTCTGCAGTTTCTCCGGATCTGCTGTGCAGTGTGGATCGATATCACCACTAATCAGATTCTCTAAGGTAAATCTGTCTGTTGATTTAAAACTTGCAAAATAAATCAAGAATCTAAACAGTTTAAACAAGGTGACGCAAGTGGTCTTCAGAAACAAATCTTCTGCTCTCCGCTCCCCTATCCCACAGATGCAGAAATGTCATGGGCTTAGTCCCTTTACCCCATCATCACTCATCCCTTTACAGCTGGGTCACCAGTTTTTCTGGCCCAGAACAGTATTAGCAAGGGCCAGAAACAGTGCATTTGAGCATGGGGATGTGGTATAGAAGGAGTGCAGACTCCGTGGCATGCTTCCAAACCCACAGAAGCTCTTCTGAGCATGCTTCGTAGGCATCAGGCTTTCCTGGGGTTCAGGGAGGGTTGTTCCCCACCACAAGAAATCAGCAGGTAAGGTGATGCTGACCTTTCTCTCCCAAGTTCTCACAGCAGCGCTCAATGCGTTAGTGACATAATTTTAGTAGCCTTTGTCTCCTTGTAGTTATGGGCTGAATTAATATAGTAGCCTCTCCTGGTGAGGAAAGCCGGTGAGTAGGGCAGGCAGATGTTTCCAAAGCTGCTTTGTGTCAGTTTCTTTTCACACAAAGAAAGGGCTCTCTTAACCTTTGGTGGTGGGGCACCGGTTCTATTACAGATTTTTCATAAGCCACGCTTTGTGGTTCAAAATTTAGGATTTTTCTCCTCCCATCCAAGTTTTTTCAGCTACCGATCTCTCTTCAGTGCCTCCTGTTCAGGATTTAATTTAACTTTTGACACCAGTCTGGCGGGAAGCAAACTGAATTCCCAAAATGCGCTTCCCAGTATGCTCTTTCTTGCCATTTGGGCTCTTTTCACTTAAGAAAATTGTTATTTTTAATCACACATTTTAGATTTAAAAATAAAACCTGCTTTTCTTTTAATAGCCGAGTCAGTTGACTTGAGGCCAGGCAGGAGGAATCTGACTGCACGACAGCAGCTTTTCCTTGCTTTCACTATTTCCACTACAAATTCTCAAATGCATTTTAGTTCGCTGTAGATTCTGATATGAGGCTTGAACAGTGTTTATTTTTGTTTCACTGCTTCGGGTGATCTTACTCTACTGTCAAACTTGGGGCTGGCCCAAACAAAACACTGCATGTTTCAACTTTGGATACTTTGAACTGTGCTTATGACTGCATCCACCGCGTGCTAGGTGCTTTCCGGACATGCAGGAGGTGATAGCCTTTGCCCTAATGAGCACATGGTTACATTAGGACTTTTATGCTGCCATGGAGAGTATGCGATGTCAATGAGACCTGACAAGTCCGGTTTTTGCCCATAATCCAGCTTTAAGAGCAAGCTTTTACCAACCCTAAAACTAACAGAAATATTTGTTTTGTTTTAAAAAACACAAATATTCTCTTGCAGTGTTGGCAACCCACGCACTGAATTACTGTGCTGATGCGTAAAAACCTGAAAATAAACTTGTCTAGATACTAACAATAAACCAAAGTGAGAATAACTAGTCAACTTCCATTGTCCAGACTGAGAGAGACAGAGAATAAACAGCCATAATGAGTGAAAGTGAATTTTAAATGTCTTAAAATCTAAACAATTTCTAGTCGTCTAAAATGCTTCAAGAAACGTAGATCAGGAAACATTTTATGTACAAATACATGATTTGGAGCCACATGGTGTTCCTTTTAAATTAATGATTTCTATTACAGTAGCGTATAGAGGTGCAAATTGTGACTAGGGGTCCATTATGCTGGGCTTTTAACAGAATATGAGACATTCCTGCTAGAAGAGCTTACAGTCTGAGTTTTGGAGCGAGGCACTTCGGCATGATTCTAATAACTAGGCTCTTTGTGATCAAGCAGCCTGCGTGGCTGTAGTCCTGTTTTTGTTTCCCTGACGCTCCGTGCTGGAGATGCTCTTTTTGGAGGTGAGGAGGAAATTGGGTATCGCTGTTCCATTGTTGTTTTTCATTTTAGATATCCCTCTAATGTGGTGTATCAGAATGGCAGCATTGGCTCAGATGAGAGCATGGAAATGAACTACTATCCACCACCACCGCAGTCTGATTCTGTCTCCCCACCATCTCCATCCTACCCAGAGGACAACCTGCCTCCACCACCCTTGGATTTTAGGTAATCCTCCGGGACCCATTCGGCCACAGAGAAATAGTAGGTGGTGCAAAGTGATAGAGTTAGCTGGTCTAGTGAAACCACTAACATAAGTACAGTATTGAGACCTGAGTGAACCTGTCTGTCAGTAAAGTGTACAAAGCTTATGACCCTTCCTTAATGTTTAGCTTCGGTTAACATAAGTAAGAGTCATAGTGAGAGAACACCCATCAGTATAGAGTTTAAGGCTGGAAGGGACCACCGGATCATCTAGTCTTACCTTGTGTACAACACAGGCCACCACTACCCTCCAGCACCCACACACACACACAACCCAATAACCAAAATTAAATCCCACAGGAGACTACGCTCTTACAAGCCACAGGCAGAGAATAGGAAGGACCAAGATGCACCAGTGTCCAAGGACCCCCCCCAAAGGCAGGGAATTGATTAAGTGAGATATACCAAATGATCCTGGCAGCGTGTGTGTGTGGGTCGCTGCAGAGGAAGGCAAACCCCCCCCAAGGTCACTGCCAGTCTAACCTGAGGAAAAATTCCTTCCCAGTCCCACATATGGTGATCAGTTAGACCCTAAGCATGTGAGTAAGAACCAGCCAACCAAGGACCTTGGAGCGAAAACACTCACTGCCACCTCAGAACCCTGGCCCTTCCTGTCCAACATCTGGGCCGTACCTGATGCTTCAGAGGAAGGAGATTAAAAAACGCCCCAGAACATGTTTCGGAAGGGGAGGGGAATCCCTTCCTGAACACTGCAGGTGACTGGCTGAAACCCTGAACCATGAGCTTTTAGGAACATAAGACATAAACTGGAAGCGAGCTCCAGGGCTGTTAACCCTGCCCCCTACTATCACAAGCAACCCCATCAGACAATCATACTCTTAAATTTGTCCAGCTCTCTCTTAAAATTAATGCCCCAAACTTCCCATAATACCCTGCATAACAGGAGAGCATTATCCCACTCTTCTTACTCTGTGAATTCTCCACATGTATACTTACTATGCTGAAGCGCCCATCCTCGTAGAATCAGGGTTCCATTAGACAATCTTGGCCCAGTTTTGGGTGTCCAATTGATCTGTCTCCCTCTTCAAATACAAATGCTTGAGAGCATGTGGTCCTGCATCCCCAACAGCACTCTGCACAGAAACAGTCCCTGTTACTGGGTTCCTACGCTGTCACCATTTTCCCCTCTGATCTTTGCAAGTGCAAGGGGTAGGTGCTCTGAGACCTCATAGTTCGAGTTCTTGGAGTCCTAGCGTCTCCTACAAGGTCTAGAGCATCCTCATATCCCAGACACCTCAATTCTGCAGGATCAGGTCCATTACACACCAATTCCAGAATGGCCTGATATTGGCTCAAGTCACAGAGGTCTAAACTAGAGTTTCTTTTAAATAGTAGGAACCAGAAAAGTGTGGCAAAAGTAAATATATAGAGGGAATAGGTGACTGACAAATGCTATACTACTAGCTTGACTAAAACGTATCAAAAGGCAACGTAGCTTGTGAGTTTGACTTTCAAATACAATCTGTCAGCCTGAGACAGGCACTCCATCCTGCGGCAGCTCTCTAGGTGACAGTGGAGATGGGTGATTCAGATAAAACTTGTCCTGGTTTATGCAGTGACTTAAAGGCATGGCTGCCCCCTGAATCTCTTATTTGAGAAAAAAGGTGGAGGTAAATCAACTCTTCATTCTAAAACGATCAGTAGTTTCCATGGTGTATCAGCTGAACACCATAGGGAGTATGTTAGATTTGCTAGGTTTTGAGGCGAAAGCATTCTGTTTGCTAGCATTCAATGTAAGCTTCCTTTTACCAGTATGTAAGCTAGTAACATAGCACTTTCTGGGCACTAGTGTTTCCTGCGAATGGAAAGTTTATGCAGCCATTTGTGAATCCATATTTCCCTTCAGTGTGTATTGGATCCCGTTACCTTTTTTCCCCTAGACCCTTGACAAGAGGTGACAAATCATCGCCAGTGCTGCAGTAAAGAATCAGTGAATGGGTCTATACCCATATGTGTTAATAGCATATGAACTTGCATAGCACAGAAAACAAGAACGAACGATAGACATCCCTGCTTAGCAGCTGAATGGCTACAGAATGACTGGCGTTGCGCTAGAAGGTTCTGAGCTGAGAGGGGAGTCTGGCCTCCGGCAGAGAGAGATTTGGTGTTTGGCTCGTACAGTGTACTGTTACTGTGTTGGCTGGTGGGACGTCTGATAGCGTTTCTCTCAGCTGCAGTGTCAGCTGTCAGTTGTTCTGTTCTCTAGCCAAGAGTAATGCAGCAGGATAGTCCGCACGAGGGCCCTGGGGAATTTCAGTAAAAACT